GAGGTTGTGGAGGTTGCCCTCTGTTAGAACCTCAGAGACGTTGTAGCGGTTGCAAGGCAGCTGTGAAAAGCACTGAGCTTTGCTGCACAGGTATTGAACAAGGCCTGTGCCCCGTGCCTTGAAGATGGAGTGATGAACGTGCTCATGCTGGATCAAATGGCCAGAGAATGTGACAGGATTCTTGCCCTGTTAACTGGTTTTAGGACCAGACTCAGGGCAGTGCTGCCAAGCCACACTGGAACCTCTCTGTTTCACACACACACACACCCCCCCCCCGGGTGGTTCCCTGAGTGGGAAGTACCTGTCATAGATCCAAGAGTTTCTGTGAGCTCTTAAATGCCAGCTTTCCCTCTCTTGCCACAGAGTCCTTGTTTCTTTGGTGAGAAAGCTCATGGGTACCTCTGAAGAAAATTTTCTTGCCCTGACCACTGTCCACCTTTCTCAGTGCTCCTTGTGAGATTTGAGATGCCCCCAGTAGTGACCTACTGTTGATAACTGCTCAGGGCAGGGCTAGGAGAGGACAGCACAGGGCTAGAAACTCCTGGGTCTACATAGAATAGGACGAGGAGGCATTCAGATGCAGAGGAGCAGAAGGCAGCAGGCTCAGCTGAAGGTTATTTTTAAGAACTCGTTCAAACAGGCTGCAGTGTCACCTGGTATCTCCCACCCAGCCAAGCTGCTGGGCCTAGATGTTCACAAGTCTTCCTAGTTGCAGCAGGGTTATCTCTTGTAGTCACAAACTGGAGTTTGAGGTGGATACTGGCACAGTTTCTTGACTCAGTGGTCTCACGGGCAGTGAGACCCCCACAAAGTGGGGGTAAAAGATGGGACACTCAAGCTGGAAAAGCTGCCTGTGGGGAGAGGGGCGACCTGAGTGATGCACCCTTAGCTGCAAGGCATCTCCAACTGATGCAGCTTGTCAGCCAGTCTCTGATACACGGTTCAGCTGCGTCTGGCAGACACGCGGTGTCTCGGACTAGCTGTGGGGGCAGTGGGAAGTGGGAGACAGGCTTATGCTTTCATGCTCAGTGCCGGAGACTGACAGGTCTAGCAACAGCTTTGCTCTAGCGATGAGTACAGGTGAACGGCTCTTCCAGCTGCTCCTCAGCCACGTGGCGTTTCAACAATGCACAGCAAAAAAATGGAGCAGCTTTGCCAGGCCTTGATCTCTGTGTGAGACTGTCCAGGCTGCAGAGCAGACCACAGTAGAAATCCCTGCTGGCAGAAGTGCCCTCAAACTCAGCAGCAGCCTGCATAAAGCCAGGGAAACGTGTCATTCCTGGTCGGTCCAGGCCCCACATGGGCAGAAGTTATGAGAGAAAGGTAGCCACGCAGCTGACATCCAACAGGCTTGCCCATCCTCAGAGACATACAAGATATTCTAAGCCAGTAAATTCATACTGTGTTAGTGCTCTTGAGTAACAAGGGCTGGCTGTTACACAAGCCTTGTGCACAGCTGTGGAGTCCACAGGCTGGCAAAGATTCATCTTGTCATAGAATCATAGACTATTTGGGGTTGGAAGGGACCTTTAAAGGTCATCTGCTCTTCCCAGCCCCCTCTGCAGCCTGGCCAAAGATGATCAGAGATCCCGATACGGCAGAGAGCCAGCTGCTGTTACAGGGTAACCCGAGGCCACCCCAAAGTACTGAAGCATAAAAACACACTGCCACCTTTTCGTATCTCAGGTGCCCCCCTCCCCATTTGCAGGCACTACAGAAGGGCAAGGCAAAGGTACCCAGCAGCTGTCGGGCAGTGATGGAGAGGAGGTGAGCGCAGAGCAGTGCTGCCCATCGCTTCCCAGCTCTTGAAACACATGAGCTCTCTTTCCAAGGGTAGCAACGGCAGTAGCCTAAAGCCTGAACTTTTCTTCCAGAAGGAATCAGCTGTTGAGCTGAGCAAATCGTGATGCTGTGCGAGATGGGTGGAAGGAGGGAGGGAGGAAGAGCCAAGCCTGACACGGGCCAGAGCAAGAGGGGAGGCTCTCACAAAGGCCTCGGAGGCAGGATGGAAAAGCCAGTAATTACATAAAAAGCACTTGGCGAGCATCTGGCTGCAGTCAGCTGGGCCCCGCCAGCCCTCCCTCCCTGTGCTGCTAACCAGGAGCAGCTGAGGATACGGATAACCCAACGCGGGACCTCTCTGGAGGGGAGTGGAGGTAAGAGGTCCTCTGCTTCCCCTCCTGGCTTGCAGTGCTCTTGGAGAGTGGGGACAGAGGAGGGGGCAAAGGGAAAGTGGCTGTGGTGGGGGAGAAGCAGACAGGAAGGGGAAGAGAAGGGGCTGTTTCTCTGCCTCTTGGTGCAGGTGATACCTTTGTTCTGCAGGTTTTGGTGAGGGAGGAGCTGTGAAGGGTGAGTGCGTGGGTGTTTTGTGAGTGGATGTGAATACCTGTGTATGTGTAGCAAGGGCAGGGGATGCACATGTGTAGCAGGGGAGCTGAGCTGTACACAGGGGTTGGAAAGGGGAGGAAACATCAAAAGTCATTTCCTTCCTGCTCTACCTGTGGTAGAGAGGGTTAATAGGATGGAGGCAGTCACTGGGGGTAGATGCAGGCTTTATCCCCCTACTTTACCCATGTTGTGTTGGGGGGTTGCAGGAGAAGGGAGGAAACATAGAAGGAGGAGGAAGCAGCTGCTTTTGAGCAGGGATTGTTGCAGCCCAATCTGGGCAGAGCTTCCCTGGGCAGCCTCCAAGGCAGAGTGTGTGGTGAGGGAGAGGGAAGATTGTTGAGCACACAAGGTGCCTTCAGGCTTGGGTTACACTTAAAAGCGTGGCTGGCAGAGGGTTATTGCATTGCATTCTCAAAACTTTCTTTGAGCACTCGGCCATACAAGCCAAAACCTCCTGCAAATGCGGCTGCCCTGGCAAAATGTTGCTGGTACAGTCAGTTCCCTTCAGGGAGCAGGGTGATATTACCCTGGCAAAAGTGTCTTTACTGGCATAAACTGCTGCCCAGCTGGGCAATGCCACCAGTGCAAGTCTTTTTTTGCTGGCTCCCTGCGGGTCCCTATTCAGCTCAGACGAGACATTAAATACAGAGTCCTGCTTGCTGCCCGCTGGGAGTTGTTCTTGCAGTCAGATGAGACAAAGGCAAAGGGCCCAGCTGGTGAAGTCCTCCATGAAGAACTTTTGCTTGGTTGTGAGCAACTCAGGAGTGCAGATGGAAATGTGGGATGGAAATGAGGACAATGGCCTCCATGCTACCTGTTCCCCTTGGAAAGGGCCAGACATAAAGCCAAGAGCTGCAAAAGGGGGTAATGTCACGTTTGGAAACAAGCCAAGCAGGACAAGCTGAGGGAGTGAGGCACTGCAATAGCTTTGATGGGACAGAGAGGAACTTTGCCTTCAGTGTCAGTCTCTGAGTTTTCATGCACCCTGGAAAATTTATTGGCTTTCAATAGTGCTGTCAGCTGCCGAAATCCCCACCAGCAGCAGGCAGGAGTAGACAGCAAAACTGATCACAAAAACCTGCCTCTGTCAGCTGGCCAGAAGTGTTGCCCTAACCTTTCCCTCTGTCATTTTCCAAAAGGGGAAACTGAGGCACAGTCAGACATAGGAGGCTTGCAATGGGTCTCATTGCATGTCAGTGCTGGAGCCCGGCTAGGAACTCACGAGCACAGCAGCGAATTTCTTGGTCCTCTTCCCGCCCTGGCTGGGAGACATGTTCACTCCATGTTCATTGAGCTGACAGGCAGCCTGAGAATATCTCCAGGCCTCCTAGCCCCCCCGCTCCCTTCCCCCCACCTCGCAGCACATATTTTCCCAGAGTTTTCCGTTTGCTTCTCCAGTGGTGCTGGGGTCCTGCCAAACGCCAGCCACTCTCTGGGAAGCAGGGCCTCCCATTCCCAAACCAAAGGAATGGGAGAAGGAAAACAGAAAAAAAAAAAAAAGTCCAAGCACACGTAGACACGCACAGAACCCTTTCCCCCTCAGAAACCTTGGAGCCTTCTCCAGCTTCTCTTGGAAGTTGCAGCAGGCACAGCGCTGACTTGGCACTTCTGGTCCCTGCAGAAGAGAGCTATTGCCCATCCTTCCTTCTGCCTCCCAGAGATATGTATGTGCAGCTCCCCAGGGTCTAAGTTCCCAAATTCAGTTTTGCCGCAGGGTAGGATCCTGAAAATCCTCTTCCCAACAGATTCTGCCGTGTAAGAAAAGTCTCCTGTCCATGGCCCCTTGCACTCTCCGCCCCCCAAAATGCCCTTCATTCCCAGGGTCTGGTGCAGCCAGCAGCCCACCAGCACAAGCGTGTCAGCTCAGCGCCAGGCTGGGGGAAAGATCACGGCCAGGGCTTGCTCCAGATCCTCAGCTTTGCTGGCAGGCAGCCCCCCGCAGCGGGGCCATGCTTCAGGCCAAGCACACCCCTCCCATGCAAACTGCTCAGCCTGGGACCCAACCGGGGTACGTGACCCGAGGATGACATGCACTGGAGTGCAAGGCTTGGGGCTCTGCCCAGGGAGAGGGGATGACCAGAGAGGAAAAAAACTGATGCCTCTCCCAGTTGGCAGATGAGCCGGCGAGAAATATCATTCCTGCAGCGGGAGGCTGCAGTGACATGCAGAAGAAACAATGCAGAAGAGAATGAAAGAAGAAGTTTGGGGACTATGAGTGGGACAGACACAGCTGGGGAGAGAGCGTGGCCAGCCAAGTGAAGGGCTTATGCATGGGACAAGGGAGTAACCGAAAGGAGGGAGAGCAGAGCCCTGCACCATCCCACCTGAAGGAAAGTCTGCCTTTTGCACCAATGCACTTCACCTTGCCCATCCTGAGGTGCTCAGGGTGCCCTGCTGCCTGCCCACCCTTTCCACAGGGTGCAATCGGTGCTGCCTGCATTTTGCTGACCAGGGCTAGGCTGTTTGGAAGTGAAAAGGCAGAGGGAAAAAAAAAAACAAACCCAAACATATATAAGGAAAAGACACTACCTAAGAAAGAGTTAAAAGGCACCGAAACCCAAGCTGGTTTGCAATGGAGAGCGCCCAAAGCCAGGGAGGGAAAGGGAGGGAGAGGAGAGGGGAGGGAGCAGGTCCAAGCCCAGCTTGCGCACCCAGCCAGCACTCAGCAGTGCCTGTGCCAAGAACCAGCTTTCTTAAAGCCATGGGCCCAGGGGCCGGCTTTGCAGGCGGAGGGGAGCCCGGGAGCAGGGGCTGGGAATCACAGAGGGGAGCCCTCGGCCTCCGGGGTGAGCTGCCATGCTGCGCTGGGGTGCAGGCAGAGGGAAGGGGGGCAAAGGCTGGGAAAGGGGCTTTCTCAGCTTGTTTGCGTGTCTGCCTGTCGTAAGCATACTTCTCCGCAGGCTGCCTGCTTCGAGCTTTGCTTCCTTCGCCCTCTCCTCTGGTCTGTCTGCAAAGGCCTGGCACTGCCTGCTGCTCTCAGAGGAGCCGGCCGTCCCTTTGGGAAGGTGCTGGGGTTTGGCTGGGAACATAGCTGAGCATTGGTGGGAGGGAGCTGAGGCACAGAGAGGGATGGGATTTGGTGGGGGCAAGGAGAGGGCTGAAGTTAAGTTCCCAGCCCATAAGAGAAGGGACCTCTCTGCAGAGAGATGTGCGTCAGACTCCAGCTGGGAGAGGGAGGTTGTTGGGTTAAACCCCCGTGAAGAATTGATACCTAGTGACTGGAAGACTGGAGAAGTTTTTTACAGCCCTCCTCACAAATTCAGCAGCCTACTGGAGCATGCTTTTGCTAAAGGGCCTGTGTGGTTTGGCATGTCTCCTTCCTCTATCCCAGCCTGGGGACTAAATCTTCTAGCAGCTCCAGTGGTTTGCCTAGTGAGGGTCAAGCCTTCTTCCAGGGTTAGCACCCACCGTTGGGTGGGATCAGGTGGGATTCCAGGGTTATCAAGCCTTCTTCCAGGGTTAGCACCTGGTCTCCGTTGGTCTGGGCAGGAGGGCATGGGGCATCCTCTTGGGCCATGCGGTTGCTACTCAGATTGCAGCCTTGAACCTCCAGGGACTTCAAGCATGTAAACCTGCTCCACAGGGCAATGCCATTTCGTCCCACCCCTGGCTCCAGCCACAGAAAGATGTTTTGTGGTGATCTCAGCCTTCTTCCAGGGTTAGCACCTGGTCTCCGTTGGTCTGGGCAGGAGGGCATGGGGCATCCTCTTGGGCCATGCGGTTGCTACTCAGATTGCAGCCTTGAACCTCCAGGGACTTCAAGCATGTAAACCTGCTCCACAGGGCAATGCCATTTCGTCCCACCCCTGGCTCCAGCCACAGAAAGATGTTTTGTGGTGATCTCTGCTCCATCCCCCACGTCCTCCCCTTCTTATACCTCACTCTGGCGCTTCCTTGTATCTTCCCAGGTCACCATGGACATAATTTACCTGCGCACACCCCTGGCCTTCCTTCTTCTCCCTCTTGTTGTGCTTGGGGCACCCACTGATGAACCCAACCTCACAGAACCAGCCCCTGGTGCTTGCAAGCGCTGTTGTGACCCACCGGACTCTTCCACAGATGCCCCACCGCTTCCTCCCAGCCACCGCCACTTGCCCTACCCAATGCCGGAGGTCCGTCCCTATATCAACATCACCATACTGAAGGGTAAGTGCCCATCTTGGCCCTGGGATGCCAAGGCCTGCTCAGGGACCGGTGGCACTGCGGTGGAGGTGACAGCTGGGTTACTGGCATGCTGGTTATGCTAACAGATGCCAGCCTGAAGGCTATGTGCCCACACACACTGTGCCCAGGGTTTAGGTGTTTTATGCTGTGATCAAGAGTAGTTTGGGGAGAGGGAAGCGAATGCGTATCTGTGATGTCACCTCTGTGTCTCAGGATGCTGCCTGCTACCAGTTCTTCCTCCCTGCTAGCACAGGAGTGGCTGCCTCTTACCAAACTGGGAGGACACCTTCCTTGCCCCAGACTTCCAGAGTCCTGGAGTGCCTGAGGGAAGGAGAAGTCTTTATCCAGCTGCAAATTAAGCATGTTTGGAGGGTAGGCATTGGCAGCGGGGAAGGCTGTGGGGAAACCTCCAGCTCCATGGGTCAGATGCATTTTGGAGCAGGAGGAGGGCAACGGGAGGCAGCAGCTCTTTGCAAGCACCTCCAGGCTAACTGGCAGTGAACCCCAGCTTGTTCCGCTCTGCTGTTGCTGGCTTGGCTAATGGGAAACGGCTCCCTATTTTAGATCAGCTCCTCCCTTCAGGGCTCCCCTTTTAGCCTTTGCTGTGGGCAAAAGCCTGTTCCCAGCTGGATCCTGATCCACTTGCTTATTGTTCCTCTGTGGTTCCTTTGGGCTAGCTGGGCAGATGCTCCCCCTACCCTGCCCAGCCTGGAAATAGCTGCGATCCATCAAAGCTCAGAAGTGTATCTGAGACAGATAGAGGCCTGGCCTAGAGTCTGGTGTTGCAGGGGGATCTGCAATAACATGCAGGGGATGGAGAGGAGGAAAACAACAAGGCACAAATTTGGGATGCTGTCACTTGTGCTGGAGGCTGCTCTGACTCCCATCTCTTCTCTTTATACACAAAGTATGTTCTGGTGCTGCTCTCTCTCTGTATTGATGCCTGCCCAAGTGTGTGACAGGCAGTGCACAAACTGCATCTACAAGGGTAGAACTGCGGTATTAATGATACAGGGTGCCCAAAGGATGCAAGTATTGTCAAAGTACCATCCTTCTAACTTGCACTGCACCATCTGCCAAGTCCAGCTTGGATCTTTTTCCCTCTGACCCACCTCACTGTCTCTCTGTAGCCATATTCTCCCATAGGCATTAGCACTTCTTCCCCTTCTCCAGCCTACAGCAAGAAGAGTGTGCACACTACATGGATAACTGGGTCACAGGAGAGGTGTGTAGGAGGGCAGGGGCTGTGGCAGAGGTAGAGGAGTGTGGAGGAGGAAGAAGAGGTCCAGACCCTCACTGGTATTTTGCACTGCTGGGCTCCCTCTCGGGCTGAAGTCTCCTAGGGACAGGCCCTAGTGCCTCCAGCAAGGCCATATCATGTGGTGAGCAAGGTGTTCGTAAGAGGAGAGATCCCGGTCGCAACCAGAGCTCTGCTAGCTCCTTTCCCATGAAGCACAATGATATTGTGACCCTCAGGAGCGTTCCTCCTTCTGGCATTGCCCCATCCTTGAGCACTCCTCTGCCTCCTCATTAGGCTTTCTCATTGCCACTTCCACCTCTCCCTCTGGTATCACACAGGAGTTATGTCCTCTGCTTCCTCTTGTAGGAGAGAAAGGAGACCGAGGAGAGCCTGGGATGCCAGGAAAGTGGGGCAAAGAAGGACCACAAGGTGAGCGGGGTGCCCAGGGCCAGAAAGGCAGTAAAGGACAAATGGGCACAGCGGGAGAACCCTGCAAGCATCAGTACGCTGCATTCTCCGTTGGTCGCAAGAAAGCACTGCACAGCAGCGAGGGCTTCCAGGTCTTGATCTTTGACACCGTCTTCGTCAACCTCTACAGCCACTTCGACATGTTCAATGGCAAATTCTACTGCTATGTAGGTGGAATTTACTATTTCAGCCTCAACATCCATACCTGGAACTTCAAGGAGACCTACATGCACATCATGCACAACGAAGAAGAGGCAGTCATCTTGTATGCCCAACCCAGCGACCGCAGCATCATGCAGAGCCAGAGCCTCATGCTGGAGCTTCAGGAAAATGATGAGATCTGGGTGAGGCTCTATAAGCGGGAGCGAGAGAATGCCATTTACAGTGATGATGTTGACGTGTACATCACCTTCAGTGGGTACCTGGTCAAGCCCAGCCTTGACTAAGTGCCTTTCCTCCTCCTTGGGGCCTCTTTGGCCTTTTCCTTCTTCTTCTCTCTCTTTACTGCCCGCAACCACTGCAAATCATTTGGAAATGGGCCTGTCAAGTCTCAGGCACTGAGTGTGAAACTTGCCACACTGGCTCCCACCTCACGCTGTCTTGTAGCCAGGCCTGTATCTGACCACTTACAGCGTGACACTACCATCTCTCACCTCCTCACCTGATGACCCCTGCTTAGGTTATTGGCTTCTTCTAAATCTGCCAGTGAGCTGTGTCTGGCGTTTAGGGTCCTAGAGCAGGAGGAAAGCTGAAATGCTGCTCCTGGGGATGTGTCGATCCTTTGGGCTTCGTACACAAAAAAATCCTGTAGAAAGGGCTAGACAGTCCCCACTGCTCAGATGCATCCTGGCTCCTCTCTGTCCCAACTAGACATGCCAGTTTTGCAGCCTGCAACATGGCCTTAATGTCACCTCTCACGCCTAATGTCACCAGTGGACCAGACTGGGGTCTGATGGCCTCCTGCAGCACAAGGAAGATGTAGGAGTGGTGAGAGATGATACTGCCTTTCAAAAAAGGGGACTGTTGGCCTTCTGAAGTACGCCATTGGCTTTCCTTAGACACCCTTCTGGGTCACAGAGTTCAGGTTGGCTGTAAAATCTAGGCCTGGTGGGATTGTCCTCCTCTGTGCCAGCTCTAGCTCTTTGAAGGGATGATGGGCCAGACACTCAGCCAGACCCTTCAGAGGCATCTGCCATTGAATCAGTAGAGGCCACTGCTCTATTCGTACTAGGGATCATAATAAGTACAGAACAAGAGAGAGAAAGAGAGAGACAACCCTCCCAAACCTCCCCTGTGATGCTACTCGGTCTCGGTTCCCCAGCTGTGGGAGGCTAGTCCAGACAGGGAACCCGAATCTGCTTTCTCCTTTGGCAAAGGTGCACCCATGCCTTTCCATTGGTCTCAGCAGTCATCCCTAACACTTACTGATGTGAGGGGAGAGTCAGGCCCTGGCTCCTGCGTGCCGTTACATTGTCCTCCTGAAGGTGGTTCTCCCACATCAGTATTGAGGGACTGGTGTTTCAGGACCCGAGGTGGAGGCTGTAAGGGCAATTGCAGTTAAATCAGTTCCAAACCTGGGCAGGTTGGCACCTCTTTGCCTCTGTGATGGAAAAGAGATAGAGGTCAGACTACAGCAGCTCACCCCAGGGTTAAAATCATCCCTGCCACACGCTCTGTGCCCTTTTCAGGCAATCTCATCAGAGCAACGGAGAAAAGCATGTGGCTAAAACAAACCCTCACTCTTCTTGTCAGGTTGGAGATGTTGCAGTGGGAAAGGAATGCCAGCGGTAGGGTTTTCTGGTACCGTTTGTACTGGTCTCACACTGCTCTCACGTCCCTCTGGGATTGCTACAGCCTTGGGGGGAGCAGGTGAGGCTGACTCAGCACTTTGGGAAACCTACTTCTACATGTTGTGATGCTCCCGTAAGCAGCAGTGCCAAGAGTTGTCTCTTTTTTGAGTCTCAGGACAGGGCAAGCTGTATTTCTCCTCTGCCCATTACTGATAATGAAGTCTTCTGACTTACCTAGCTTCTGCGGTCTCATGATTAGCCATGGTCTCTGCCTATACACCTGGGACTACCAGAGCTCTCCCATAGGAGGTATGCATCGTTTTACAGGACGAGGTGCAGTACACTCAGCCTGGGATGGCGAAGGCACAGGGACCCAGGCTAAATATTAAAAATGAATTTGAGAGAATTGCAGGACATTTTCTCTCTTGCCCTGTTTACTTACCCTCCCTGCTTTGCTAAGGAAGCTGTACAGACTGGAATGAGCTTCAGGTACTTTCTGCCCTGGATCCTCCCCACCACTGTCACTGAAGCAATGGGTATAAAAACAAAGTTTCACTGATGCAAAGCTGGTTTTTCCCAGGGAAACATGTAATGATGGGATCATGGGAACTAAAGGAGACTGTGAGTTTCTTCCCCTCCCTTAGCAGGTCAAGCACATGGAATTGCTGAGAGACAGGATTTCAGGCAGTAGAGAGGAAGCAGCACGCTGGAGGTGAAGTTCAGGACCGAACCCCTTTCTCTCTTCCTCAATAGGCTGCAAACCCAGATATTGTCTATTTACAGTGTATAGTGCCTCTGTGTCTCCCTGAAGAGAAACAAGCCTCTCTGACACTGAATATCTCCAGAAACAAGCTTCGTTCTTCCTCCTTTTCTATTTGGTGTTTGAATGCCATTGATAGGTCTCGTGCTACCCATGAGCAGCCAGATGATGCCTGATGCACATGAGAGAGGAGGGCAGGGGGACCAAAGGGTGTGTTTAACAGGCTTCTTGGTGCTAAACAAGATGGCAATCCCTTGGTGCTAAATCAGATTTCAGGAGTATTGGGTGCTTTCTGGAGGGTGTAGTAGGCTGAGTTGTAATGTACTGTGGAATTAATGGTGCTTTATGTTACAAAACCAAACAAACTCCAAGAACTTTTGTATATATATATTTTTTTTCCAGTGGTATTAAACTTTTTTCCTTGATTGTTTTGCACTTAGATCTGCTTTTCCCTCCCAGTATGTTCCTTCTAGCTCTGGAATAGTGTGATGGAAAAGACACTGACCTGGAAAAGACAGGTACAAAGTCCTACTCAGCTCTGAAACTTCCCTGGGCAATCTTCTCTCTGTTTCCTCTGTGGAGAACCATTACCTTAAAGATATCTACTGCTTGAACACTTCTAATTATGATAACCCTCTCCTCTATGCTGGGAAAGCTTTAAGCAAATTCAAGGAAGGTTCTTTGTAAATTACTGAAAAAAACAGGACAATACAATGGGTTGTAGGATTACGCGTCAAGTACTTAATTATATTGAGGAACGCTGGGCTAAGGCTGGAGTTCTCTTAAGGGGGATCAGACCCTTTATATTGTGAAATTTTTAGCACATCCTTCTATCAAGTACTTAGTAAGCATGTGTGTTTTCTGTTTTCCCTGTGGTGTTTCTCTTTTCTCTGCCAAGAGGTGAAAGCCAAGAAGTACAAAGGTAAGAGAGACCTTAAACTGTTGACCAGGCATTTGTGCTTGCTAACGATGGGGTGAGTGGCAGTTCCACAGTTAAGCTGGACACACGTTTTTGGAAGACCTGTGTGTGATGAGAAAGGCTTGAGGTTCAGCTCAGAGGTGGAAAGACAAGTGGCAATTGCCCATAAAGTTGGGGAAAACAGGTAGACATGAGGGGGAAGTGGAGACTTGGAGGCTTGAGTGGAAGATCTAGGAGGGGTAGAGTCCTAAGGACAGGGAGATGCCTTTTGGAGGTCTCAGTGCAAGTCGAAGAGGTAAGTGGGGTTTTGTTTAGCATCAGTGGGGTTTTGTTTAGCGTCTTCAGGGTTTGGGCTGAGGGCATTCCTTTTTTTTTGAGCAGTGGGCAAGAAAACAAGGGGAGATGCCCATATAGGACCTTCTGTTTTGAGTTTAATTAATCTTCACATAGCTTCTCCTGTGGTTTGATGTGTACCAGATGCTGCGTTTGGCAAGGGTTGGAAAACATAATCATACACATTCTTACAGGCCTCTTTGGTCCTGTGTCAGGCCCAGAGCTAAGGCTATATATATCCTAGTAAATGCAATACTCTGTCAGGTCGGACCCCCAGCCTTCTTCGAGTTTTTTGTTTACTTCTGAGGAAGCAGGTAGAAATGTGTCCTCAGAAAGTGCAGGGGTAGCACTTGTACATGTTCCTGGCCCTTGAGGTGAGACGCTGGTAGACTGGAGGTGACTTCGTCACACTTAGAAAAGGTGAGGAGTGAGGGAGGAGCAACAAGCGGAAATGTGAAGCCAGACCTTCTAGAAAATTTTTATATGATTCAATTCTTCAGCCTGCCCACTTGGAGAGGAAAGTGCCACCTGAAGAGTCACTTCAGCCAAATCCCTTGGGGCTAAGACGCATGGTGATGGGGGGGGTGTGGTGTGTGCGCATCTGTAGCCGGTGCCACCCGTCACACCATGGATGCCTGACTGGGCAGTTGCTGTAGGTGAGGCTTGGCTCAGGGAAAGTGGACCTTACAATGCTGTTGAAGGAAAGAGGGCTAGACTGGGTCAGACCAGCCCTGCTACCCTGCCAGTGGGTGCAGCCATGCCCTGAAGGCCATGAGACCTCCCTTCACTTCATTCACCCCAGAGCTGGATCCTTTTCCATGCAATGGGGCTGCCCTGTGGTACGTGAGCCTGGGGTTGGTGACAGCCAGTACCTCTGTCCTGGGCAAAGCAAGAAGCCTGCCCTGGGATGGGCAGCTACAGCACTGGGGCTGTGCCTCTTTTTTCCCCTGAAAGACAGGTCCAAGTTCTGCTGCAAAGGACTCTGCAGCCGCATCTCAAGCTTGTTCAAGGTATCTGCCAAGGGGTTGGCCCTTCAAACTGGCTTCCTGCAGGTTTGTGGTCTTGCAGGTATGAAAGGGGGGGAGTAGGAGAAAAAAGGTAAATGGCGGGATATGGTGCTGTCTCTGGGGAAGAAAGAGCATGTCAGGGCCAGCTCAGGAGAAGCTGAAGGCCCTGCAATAGCTCCTTGCCCTGTGGGAAAGGGGAAGAGAGAAGCAGGGCAAGAAAAGGAATATAAAAGTAGACCTTTGAACTGACGGGGGGCACTCAGATGGGTACAGGTGGATGTGCCTGCACCCAAAGCACCAGGAAGAGCAGGGGCATAGCATAGCAGGACCTGGCTCTGCATCTCCCCTGACCCTTTGCCACAAGGGGGAAGGGTCTCTGGCATCCCCTTGAGCCTCGCCCCAGCTGTGAGCCATGGTGCAGGGTCTGCCCCACGTCAGGGATTTGTGCACCATTAAGGGGGCCACTGCACCATACCATAGCAGGTTTCCCCTCTGCTCCAGCCTGCTGTCCCTCCTCCCCTCCCAAACCACCTAGACAACCTACTTCACTCACACCTCAGCCTTGTTTATCTCCCAGAGTCCAGGGAGGGAGAGGAGGGGATGCAACGCCCCAGCCAGCATCGCCCAGCGCTGCAAG